TGCCTATGCCCTACTGGGGATTGAGCCTGCAACCCACGCATGTGCCCTTGACCGGAACCGAACCCAGGACCCTATTTAGTCTGCAGGCCGGTGCTCTATCCACTGAGCCAAACTGGCTAGGGCCTTAATTTGCTTTTCATTGGACTTAGAGAAACTCCAGGCTGGTGAGTGTACAGGTGTGGGTTGTGCCAGAGCCTCCCAGGGTCTTGGTTTACAGTCCAGCCGATTCTCTCAATGGTGAGAAAGCTCACGGGTGTAGGGAAAACACGTGACAGATCCCATCACTGTGCCAAGAGCCACCATTAGGGGTCCACGACCTGTTGAGTCGCGGTGTCCCATTGGAAGTTCAAAGCCATGCAGCCGAGAGCCTGCGGCCCAGGGAGCGGTGGAGGACTGGGAGCCTCTGGCATCCGCTGGGTGTGCTGGTCAGGACGGTACCGCTCATCTCTTGGGATTTGCAGGCTCAGCTCTGGTCTTAATGATCCGCCGGATCGATGTTCTCAAATGCCAGTTCACAAATGCCTCTCTGGCAGCCGCGGCCCTCTGCTCCTGTTGGTTGGCTTCCTTTGTCACAAGGTAGGGTTGGCTTACAGTTGCTGAAGGTCATGGAATTTTGTCAGCACCTCATTGAAATGAGACATTTGTGGCCACGCGTTGTGTTGTTTCTGCTGATAGGAGCCCAGTGCTGCATTCACATATGGTTAGCTCAATTGCTTTTCCTAGTGTGGGATATATATATATATATATATATATATATATGTGTGTGTGTGTGTGTGTGTGTGTGTGTGTGTGTGTGTGTGTGTGTTTATTGATTTCAGAGACAAAGAGGAGGGAGGGAGGGAGGGAGGGAGGGAGGGAGGGAGGGAGGGAGGGAGGGAGGGAGGGAGAGAGAAGAGAGAAATGATTCAATGATAGTAGAGAATCATTGATCCATTGCCCCCTGTATGCCCCCTGCTGGGGATTGAGCCCACAACCTGGGCATGTGCCCTGACTGGGAATCGTACCCTGACCTCCTGGTTCATAGGTCGATGCTCAACCACTCAGCCACACTGGCTGGGCAGCCTTGGAGAGAGTCTCAGTGAAATTCCATCCACAGCTTTTTTCCATGCAGAGGGACAGCTAGGAGTTCAGAGCGGGGGAGACTGGAAGAGGAAAACGGGAGGTGAGGAATGAAGTCGGCCCGTTGATGTGTTTGTGTCGGGACAGTGGGCTGGCCCCACAGGCCCTGGTCCGATCTTGGGCTGCCCACTAGATGACTTGGGTGATTCCCTTCCCCTCTCAGGCCCTCTATCTTCTTGTGTAAGAATGGGGGAGGGGAGTCCTGCCAGAGTACCCTCCACAGGATCGGAGGGTTCCCTGGAAAAGTACTGGTGGCTTACTCTGTAAACAGTCATTTGCAGCTGAAACCAGTTTGGCTCAATGGATAGAGCGTCGGCTTGGGGACTGAAGGGTCCCGGGTTCGATTCCGGTTAAGGGCATGTACCTTGGTTGTGGGCATATCCCCAGTGGGGGGTGTGCAAGAGGCAGCTGATCGATGACTCTCTCTCATCGATGTTTCTAGCTCTCTATCTCTCTCCCTTCCTCTCTGTACAAAATCAATAAAATATATATTTAAAAAACAACACAAAACAGTCATTTGCTGTCCCAGCTTCGAGCAACATGAGCACCATGTATGGCAATGAACACCCACTTTGGTAGACTGAAGAGGCCCTAGAGGAGTCGTGGCAGGGACTGGATACAAGTCGCCAGCACCTAGTGCTGAGTGGACAGTCCCCACCTCCTCTCTTGGTTTGCCACATGAATGGGTGACTCACGTTCTCCCACAAAGGCCCTGACCCACAGCGCCTTCTCTGAGCTCCTGGGGTTGACACACACTTTTAAGTCATTTCACATCATGTTGTTAAGCTCACTTTGAACTTTGAAGTCCAGTGAACCTGAAACAGCTCCACATCAGGGAGAAAATATCAGCTTGCAGCCTCCCCAACCTGCAGCCACAAGGACTGTAACCATTGACCTTTCCATGGGCATTTCCTGTCCCTCCGAATCCTAGGAGGTTGGAGCTAGGTACGTATGTCAACAAAACTCCTGGAGGCTGTGAAAGGTGCCTTAAAGCCCCCTCCTTCACTTCCTGCATCCTTCCGAACACCCGGCACAGTTCTCAGTAAGCAGTTGATACACCCTTGAATCTGCTAATAGATGTGATGTTGTTCTGAGGGACCGTCCAAAAATAAAAAATAAAAAGAATGTAGAATATGGGGCCAGTGAAGCTCCAAAGCTTTGTAATGAGAGTGATGTGAACCAGTTTACCTTGAGCTAGAAAGACTTCAGGTGATTTCTTCAGTCACGTGGGGGCCAGGCCAGAGCAGGTGGGTGGCCAGTCAAATCTCCCTCCATTACTCGGCTATAGATTACACTGACCACACGGCAGGGCGGCGGGAATAGTGGCCGGAGACTTAGCTACGTGAAAAGGAAACCTTTAAGTAGATTTCTATGGTGTAGGGAATTTTCCTTATCGAAACCAGTGGATTTACCCGCCCTCGCTTCCCCGTCTACCCCCATCGCTGGCATCTGCTCAGTGCTCAGCCAAATCCAGGTCAGGATAAAGAGGCGATTTGGATGGCAGAAAGCTAGATAGTCAGGCTCCTGCAGTAATACTCAATTACTGGATTCTCTTGAAGCACCGGCTCCTCTATAATGAAGTCTTCAGTTTTTAAATATCTTTAGAAATCAGGTGATTGAGTATTGGCAACAGCCAGCTTGCTGCTTCCCGCTCTCTTACGGCGAAATCCCAGGAGCTGGCTGGGGTTGTTAAAAGATAATCTTAAGCCTTTTAGTGCATATTATTCTTCATTCAACTTTGAGCTGCAAAGCCTCCGAACGGAATAGGCCAGGAATGAGACAGAAGAGAAATCAGCTTGCTGCCATCATCCTACAGCCCTGCGACCCCAGCCAGAGCTGCTGTTGCCCTGGGCAACTTCTGGCCACCCAGAGGCCACCTTAGCCAGAGCTGGGGGGGGGGGGGGTCAGAGTGGCAGGAAAAGCCACTGCGGGTATGGGTTATTCCTGCTCAGTCTGAACACAGTGGATCCAAAACGCAGTAAGACAAAAGGTCGGTGTACATTGCGGCTCACAGTGTGTTTTCCAGCACAGTTGACATCGTTGGCTTGCTTTGGTGAACTTGGAATTGAATAGTATCTTTGCACTGTCGCTCTTTTCTTCCTTCTACTTCCCTGTCATGGAACGTGTCCGTGGACCCGTGATGCTGTTTGTACCTCTGGTAATGATGTGCCCGTCGGCAGCACGTGTCCCCGGCATTTCTCCTTGTGTTACTGGGGGCCCTGGACGTCAGGGAAGCAGTCATCAGTCGTATAGCCCTTCAGATTTCTTACTCTCCCTGCGTTGTCCATCTGCCCAACTACACGTGTGTTATTCGGGCCAACTTTTTTATTTTTTCAATGTTGAAAGGTGATTGATGACGTGTAAACCAGTATTGTTTGCCATGGACTATTTTGGTGAAAGTAGTTTATGCTGCCTCTTGGGCTGGATGTAGTAATATATATATTTTCTTTCTTTCTTTCTTTCTTTCTTTCTTTCTTTCTTTCTTTCTTTCTTTCTTTCTTTCTTTCTTTCTTTCTTTCCTTCCTTCTTTCTTTCTTTTTTTCTAAGTGCTTTCTAACATTCAATGCTTGATTTAGAATAACCTGCTTTCCACTCCAAGGATATTTCACTCAGGCACGCTTGGTTATAAAGTTTTTCACTGGGTATTTTAAAACAGTGAGCATGCTTGTCTATAAATGCAGTAAAGTGTCTTTGTGATATATTGATCTTCCTTATTTTCTTGCCTCTCTTGTTACCAGACTGTGGGTGGTGACATTTGAAAAATGTATTATAGGGGATGGAGTGCAACATTTTAAGCCAAGAAATTGAAAACAGGATGCGAAACAAGAAGGGAGGGGAGGGAGAGAGTCGATCAAGGTCATGTCTGTATATTAAGGATTTGATGGCGGGAGAGCGAAGAGAGGCAGGCTTGCATTTATAAAGAGGCAGGTGGCTCCGGGAAGTGTTGGGAAAGCCCACCTGGTATCAGGCAGGGATAGAAGGTCTTTGCCACAGAAAATCATAAAGCCAAGAACAGCCAAAGGACTTATATGCATGCATATAAGCCTAATTGACACAGACAACAGGGCGGTAAGGGCATGAATGGGAAGGGGTCGGGGGTTAAGGGGGAATAAGGACACATATGTAATACCACAATCAATAAAGAAGTTTAAGAAAAGAAAAAATAAAACCAAGAACAAGTTAGCAAAAGTTATAAGCTATGGCGTTGAACTGGGTGAATTTGCCATTTTGTTTATCTGCAAGTAATCCCAATGCCCAGAAGGGAGCAGGGTCCAGATGGTAACCCCAATTCCACATGGACTGTTTCTGCACTGTGAGAGATGAAGCCCATTCATCATTAAGCAAAAGTAATGTTTTTTAAAGTTGCATCTTCAGAGGTTATACATTTATTTATATAAAAGCCTAAGCGACCATTAAGACTGAATGACTGGAACGACCAGTCGCTATGATGTGCACTGACCACCAGGGGGCAGACACTCAACACAGGAGCTGCCTCCTGATGGTCAGGGCACTCCCCTAGCAAACCTCCCCCTGGCCTACCAACCTCCCACAGCTCTTCCCCCCCCCCCCCCCCGCCCCTACACACCCTACCCAGCCAACTTTCCGCAGTCCCTCTCCCCTGCCAACAGCCCCCACTTCCCATAGGCCCTGATTAGGAGGGCAGCCGGCCAACCTCCTGGGGTCCCTCCCTGTGGGCGGCCGGCCCCTCCTGCCTACCCCCCCATAGGCCTTGTGCTCGGGTAGGGTGGCGTCTAGTAATACATAACAGGGAATGCATCTTGAGGCCATTTTGAGTGATGTGTTCAGAGCACGGGTTTCTCCTAGTATACTGAGTGCGTGTAAATGAGCCCATCCTTATGCTGCTTTCTCTTCCGTTTCAGCACATCAGGTCCACCCATTTGGCCGGGCAGTACCTTCTTCAAGAGAAATGGAGCCCTTCTACAAGGTAGGTCTCTCCAAGCACCCGTTCCCCTCCCCCTCCCCCACCTCCTCTTCTGGCGCCAGCCAGCAGAGCTCTGTCCTGTGGAGGAGTGGGCACTGGAGAAGTGTGACTGCTGTGGTTCGGGTCTGTCATTTCTTCCCGCTCACATCTCCCGGCTGCTGTGCATTGCTCGTCTGAAACCAGGACTGCCCCTTTTGGTCTGTTGCTACTGGTCCTGGTCTAGGCGTGTTTGGCTTGCTTTGGTGAACTCGGACTCACGCGGCAGTTAGGATGTGACAAGAGCATCAACCAGGCGAGTCAAAAACAAACCCCGCTGCGTGTTTTCAGCGCGCCGGATGTTTGGGGCGTCTGTTGGCAGTTTGTTCACCGTGAAGGGCCACGTATTTCTGGCTGGCCCCTGACATCCACATGTGCCTGAATGGGTGACTGTGGTTCGTTCTGAGGCTCAGAGTTCAGACACCTCTCCCTTGTCCCTGCAAGCCTCACTTGCGGGGGGACATCCTTCCTGCGGTCCAGCCCACGTCAGCTGCTGTGCCCAAGTTCCTATGCAGTGTGCTCGAGGAATTCAAACTGTCTTTCACCTCTACTTTTGCCATTACGTTTTTTTGGAAACAACCAAAGTTATAGAGGACTAAATGGTTTAAAATAGCAATAAGATGCACGCTAAATACTTTTAGAAAGTATTTTTGGGTGATTGCTGTTTTGGATAGCTGCTCGATAGATCAGCTGGAATTGGCTGGCTCCTCAGGCCCCAATGACTGGCCAGATGTCAGAGTGGTACAATGGGCCACCATCAGGTGGACTGGGTTAAACCAAGAAGTTTAGAACTGTACTGGGCTTAAGATGAGGCATTTCAGTGCATTTTGGTTGTTTTTGACCTGTTTGGTTGGTTTAAGCCTCTTTTCCTTAAACGTACTGCACACGAGGGCTGGCCATGTGGGTGAATATGAATGTGGCTAAGAAAAGTGACGTTTATTTTCAGGTTTCTGGAGTAGCTCAAACAGTTTTGAATGATGTCGCATGTTTGTCATTGTGTTACGGGCCAAGCAATTGCATATTGCCGTTCTAATAGCCTGTGAGATTGGGAACCTGAGAATGTCTTTGCATGTTTGCTCGGTACAGGGTGAAATATAGGCAGGCAGGTTTGAGTCATGCTAATTTTAACAACCACCCTAGACATCCTAATTATCTAAGGAAAAAAGGGAACTCCCTCCGCTTTCAGAAATTAATACACAATTTTTAAAAGATCTACTCTATTCCCCCTTTAGGTGGTATATATGGAAATAAACCTTGATGAGCCTTTGGATTTCTTCCAGGGAATTCCAAAGGGCTGTGTATCCCCACTTTCCCTCTAGATCCATCACAATGAAATCACTGGTGTCTGAGTTCCTTTCAGCAAAGGGATTTTATTTACATAGAGAATTTTCTTACAGGATTTTTATTCATTGAGTTTTACATTAGGTAAGATTTGCTCTAAGCACCTTACTTTTGGGTTGTTTCAGGCAAAAGCCTGAGGGGAGACATTGGTAAGTTTTCTTCTTTTTTTTTTTTTTAATATATTTTATTGATTTTACACAGAGAGGAATTGAGAGGGATAGAGAGTTAGAAACGTCGATGAGAGAGAAACATGGACCAGCTGCCTCCTGCACACCCCCCACTGGGGATGTGCCCGCAACCAATGTACATGCCCTTGACTGGAATCGAACCCGGGACCCTTCAGTCCCCAGGCCGACGCTCTTCCACTGAGCCAAACCGGCTTCGGCAGACATTGGTAAGTTTTCTGACGTTGAGTGGTTTGGCTGTGAGAGTCTGTCTCGTGGGTGGGAGACCTTTTTTCTTGTCATGATAGGGTTAACAATCCTCCTAATTACTCAGGGCGTTGAGAATGAAATGATGACATATGTCAGATGCTCATTGAGGCCAATTCGGTGCAGCCCCTGTATTTCTTTGTACATGGGAAAATCAGAAGGATCTTGGAGAGACTTTGGGAGTGTGGGCCGGGATTTGTCAACTTTGTTTTTCTGTGCTATTTCTTCATTTGCTAGATCTGACTATGGAGTTCTCCAGACACTTACTGTGACAAGGTTTTTCGAACTATCCTAATTAATATTTCTATGTTTCTTTTGGTGGGTGGTACTGGCTCATCAAGAACTCGCTGAAGTCCACAAGCAAAAGTTTTGCAAAAAGGTGACGGTGGCTGAAACCGGTTTGGCTCAATAGAGCATCGGTCTGCAGAATGAGAAAGGTGCCAGGTTCGATTCCGGTCAAGGGCATGTATATGGTTGCAGGCACATCCTCAGTAGGCGGTGTACAAAGAGGCAGCTGGTCAATGTTTCTCTCCCTTCGATGTTTCTAACTCTCTATTCCTCTCCCTTCTTCTCTGTAAAAAAAAATCAATAAAATATATTAAAAAAAAAAAAAAGAAGAAGAAGAAGAAGAAGAAGAAGAAGAAGGAGGTAACAGTGTATGATGAAGGGGGCTGCCCTGTCCGATCAGCAGGAGGTCAGATTAGACACGGGTAGACGAAAACACCCTGACTCACGCTTGCTTTCTCATCTTTGTACTTTCCATTTTAAAAATAGGCGCACATACCTTCTTTTCCCCTGGAACAAGCAGGAGGACATTTTTCTAGACATCAGACTCTAGGCAAGAACTCTGCTACCAGGTTCCAGCCACAGGGAGTGGGTTGCAGGTGAGCAGGTTCCCTGAAGAGCACAGTTTGAGGAAGTGGGTAGAAGATGAAGCTTCTATTGGTGACACAGACCCAGGGACCAGCCGGCAGAGCCCAGCCTGGCTGTGGGCCCCGTTGGAGCAGACTTGGCTGAGCCAGCTGCACGGGGAGGCCCTGCTGGGCGGAGTGGCTCTGAGCCTGAGGCTACAAGAACACAGAGCAGCGAAGAAAGCAGACAAGTCACACTGTGTAGAGGACCCATTTGCTTTTGTCAGGGGGATGGAGCAGAGGGGCTCTCACTTCTTGGGAGAGTTGACACTTGAGGGAAGTCTTAAAAAATGGGTGGCCCTGACCTGTTTGGCTCAGTCGATGGAGCGTCGGCCTGAGGACTCAAGGGTCCCAGGTTCGATTCCGGGCAAGGGCATGTATCTTGGTTGCGGGCACATCCCCAGGTGGGGGGTTTGCAGGAGGCAGCTGATCGATGTTTCTCTCTCATCAATGTTTCTAACTCTCTAACCCTCTCCTGTCCTCTCTGTAAAAAAAAAAATCAATGAAATATATATTTTTTGAAAATGGGTGGATGGGACCTTGGAAAAAGGCGTTGTAAGAAAGGGCCAAGCAAGGGTCCGTGGGCATGAGAGGATCCGGAGAGCGTAGCCATGGGGATGTCACAGGGCAGGTGCGGATAACGAGGGACTCGGGCACTTTGGGGTGATGACGTCACGCGCGCGGAGAGATGTTTAAAGAGAGTAACGGGATGCAGAGAAGAGGGAATAATGTCATGAGTGGGACAACGTGACATAACGGTGGCCGTGTTGTCTGGCAGTTGGGTGGTGTGTACGGTTATTTTATTTTTTCCGGCATAAAAACCAATCGCAAGAATTAACTGAAGTGCTCGCGGTCCTCCTGGAGGGCGGCCTGTGTGTTTGGGTTCTTGCGGAGTCGCCGGCAGGAGGGCCTGCTGAGTCACCTCGCCGTTTTGAGGATAATGGGGTAAGATTTGGTTTGGATTACACCAGGCATGGGTAGTTAACATAATTGGCCATTTCATCAATTCCCAGCACTTACTATAAATGCCATTTAGGCTGCGAGAGACAATTGTAGATGTGAGCAGTTCCCCTCGACTGGAGAGCACTTCAGCTCGTGTTCGATGGAGGCAGCGGAGTGCCGGAGGGGACACCATTGTTCCAGGCGGACCGGGGTGGGGCTCACCCGGGGACCCCTCTGCGTCTCCCCATGTGTCTCCATTTTGGTTTCTGTGTGTTTGAAATACATGTTTGTTAATGTTATTAATTAATGCTGTTTCTAATCTTCCTCATTAGAAAGTAACGTGTTTTGTACCTTTTCCAAACTCCCTAGCCCTCCTCCCTCCTCCCCATAATTCATTCACCCATCCAACTTGAAATTGGGTGACTTTAAACATCCCCCACAGGTGAATTATTCCAACCATCAGTGAGTGACTTTTCATTGAAGACATGTCTCACCCCCGGTCTGACCCTTCACCCGGTCCCCGGAGGTCTCCCCCCAGAGCCGCAGATGGCATGGCTGACCGTGTTCGATCCGTGCTTCTGCTGGAAGTGGCTGCACACTGCCTGGTCCCATCGTCCACTTCTTTCCTGCCGGCCTCACAGGCCCTGCCGGCTCCGGCTCCCTGCGGAGTTTTGATCCAAGACAAGCTGCCGCCCTTGCAGCTCTGTGCCAGCCGACTGCTCGGACCCACCTGTCTCATTTCCAGCTCTTCCCCTGAGCAGGTGTTCCCCGCTCGCCCACACTAACCCCCCACCCCCCAAGCCCTTCCTTACTGCCCATCTCTGTGCCAGGCATTGGCTGAGGCCGGCGTTCCCGGGAAGCCCAGGGCCTGCCTCCTGCACCCTGTACAGCCTCCTGTACTGGAGTCAGACCCCATGCCTCTGCAGTCACTAATACTCTGCCGGCCTTCCTGGCTCTCCCTCCACTTCCTTTCCCCTGTCACCCCAGGATCGGCCCCCTTGTTGTTACTAAACCCATTTCTATAGGACCCGGTAGTGGGATTAAATTCCATCACACCCAGCACAGATTTTATTTCCATTCAATTCTGACAACCCACGGGATGAGCTAATGAGACCGGAAGGGGAGCTTCGAGGCCTGTCCGGCGCCCAGAGCAGGCGGCACTGCTGTGGGCCCATTTCCCCCTCTCCTCCCCCCCCCCACCTACCCCCAGCCGGAAGGAGCCTCGTTCTCCCGTCGTGAGATGAACGTTGGCCTGAGAGCACGTCGAGTGCTTGCTGCAGGGGGGACCGTGCACAGGGCGATGAGGACGGAGAGGACTTGCTCTGGGGAATGCCCGTGTCCC